CTCTCTCTCTCTCTCTCTCTCTCTCTCTCTCTCTCTCTCTCTCTCTCTCTCTCTCTCTCTCTCTCTCTCTCTCTCTCCTCGCGGTATGCTCCGCGTTGTCGCAGAGATCCGCGGACCGACCGATCCGCTACAGTTAACTCTCGCGCGCGCACTGCCGCGGCTCTCTCGCTCCACTGACTGGGGGGTAAAGCGCCTTCGCCGGCTGCCAGACCAGCAGCACCAGCAGCAGAAGCTCTAGCACACGGCCAGCTCTACTAGCAGTATCACGCACGACGGGCAGCTTCACGACTGCCCTCGGCTGCTACGGCGCCCGCAAGTGTGTGTCTGGCCGTCCGTGTCGGAGCGGCGCGACCTCGCGCGCAGGCGGCGTCGGCGTCGGCGTGCGTCGTGCGGAACGACGCCGTTAGCCGACGGAGCTGCGAGCGAGCGAGCGCGAGCGGCCGGCTAAGGCGGATGGCTCTCGTTTTCTCTCCGTCAGGCGGTGGAGGTGGTGGAGGCGGCGGTGGCGGAGACGGCAGCAGCGCCGCCGCGACGCTCGCGACGACGTCGCGATGCCATCGGCCTGGGCCGAAATCGATGCCCCGCAACGCGGCGTCTGTAAGCGGCACCCCCGCGACCTGTGCCACACCACCGACAGCGGCCACACACGCCTAACCCCCCGACGCGGGTATACCGGGTGTCCTATTTTGTCCAGCGATGTTCTCCGGATCGCGTTCGCTGCTGTTTGCTTTCCTTTTTCTTCTTTCATTCCTTCGTTTGCGCCTCGAAGCTTGATACAATAATTCAAAATTCTTTTTCCGCACGTACAAAATGATATGTTCTTTTAAGAAAAGGTAAAAATGTTTGATTGAAAAGCATACGCAATTAGTCATGTGATTTAATTGACTGTTTCGCTTATTAATCAGTTTGCAAGTATGTGTATTTGTCTTTCGTCTTTTGAGAAACACCGGTTTGATTTGGCATTAAAAGCGCAACACACGACGCGCACATAACCCCCTACGTGAAAGACAGCAACTGCTATCATGTGAACGTGTGTTACGCAAATACAAACGTAGATGCACGCTCGCGTGCAAATTTGGCCCTGTGCTACGTGCTACGTGTAGTACAAAGTGTTACACAAACTTGTAGCGAACGTGTGTACCGACACACGTTACCGACATATCGCGCATGCAGACACGTAAATAATCGAAGTCGAACGCACGTACAAATACACGGACGAGGATACGTTGGAGGTGTTGGATGGGAGGGACGTGCCAGGAAGAGGCGAGGTCCTGCGGAAGGAATTCCCTTCGATTTATCGCTTGGCTTTTATTTCCTTAAATTATGCATTAGTTCGTGGCTAAGCATAGCGTTTGAAGGAAGCACGAAGTCCCCCATAAGCGTTTGTCAAATTGGAAAGGCACTCGATAAATCGATTTGCAAGGGACGAGCGGTACGTGCAATTTTTCTCGAATAATTCTCCTCTTACTCGTAAATTACGAAATTTCACTTCTCTTGAAGGTGAAGAGTAATTCAAAGTTTTCTTTTTACGAGTATAAAATAGCACCTTTTTTTTTTTTTTAAGAAAAAACAAAGCAGTTTGATGATAAAGTACACGTAGCCTCTTACGAAATTTCAAGCAAACGCGGAGTCAGCCTATACGCGCTTGTTTAACAGAAATATATCTCGAGATAAGAGAGCGGGCAGTTTTTTTTTTCCTAAATATATAATGCGCGCGTATATGCGGGTAATAAGGAATAATATATGCCGGCCGTAATATCGAGTGCGGAGTTTGCAGGAAAGTTCTTCTTTTCATTTTTATCACACGACGCGTGAATATGCATATAGGCGCGCCGATAGGATTTTCTGAAACTATAGCAACCCTACGCGAGGCAACAGAGGCGCCGAGTGGAAAATGCAATACAGCTGCATTTCAACGGTGACGCGAGTGCACGTGCCGCTAAAGCGAATGTGGAACGTTTCTGCGTAACTGCGTGTCATTTGCGTACAGATTTATTCGGTTTAAATTCACGGGCACTTTATAGAGCAAATCGCGCGGCTCACAAGGCCGCCACATCGAGACAAATATAACAATAATTTAATGTTATTTGACATTCTGTAGCGCGATATATGTCTACCTGCGTATTATTTCGTGACGCGAGTAGAAATGCAATCGTAAAATTGCAGAAATCGATAATGATAATTTTATACAATTATTGCAATCTGTAACTTTTTGGTCTACAAACATCCGACCTATAAACACCGATAATATTACGTCTTATTCTTCTCCGCATATTCTTGGCAAGGTTCTTGGATACGCACATAAAATCCAGTGCCTGCGGAGTGCGATCAAACCAACAAGGATGTCCTCTTTAACCGAAAATTCTAGACCCTATGAAATGTTGCCAGCATGAGCGCGCTATGTTTCTTCGTGCTCGAAAGCATCTTCCATTTGTCATGATAACATTCGTCCAACAATTTAGATTAGTAAGACCAGTTGATAAAATACTTAACGATAAACGCTGTACAAGACAACATTCCAATTCCGTTGAACGTTTCCAATTCGCCGAGAGAACTCTCTAAATCTTTCAAAGTTGAAATCTCATTTAAGATGACTGAAAATTCCCTAAAAGCAATAATGAAAATATCTCGAAATTATAAGAGCGAACGTCTCACTCAAATTTAACGAGAATTTTTTTAGTGATATTAATGGCTACCAATAAACATTATTATTATTATTATTATTATTATTAAATGTCCCAATTAATTTGTTCCTGTGGTGATGCAGCATATCATATCCGTTCTCGAATTTCACTCAACAATTAAGAGTGGAGAATTCATTTTACATGAATGAGAAATCGCTGAAAAGACTCGAATAAGACTCAGCTGTCACTCTATTTCTCGAATGGACTTTCGCTCGAAGAAATCACTTCAGAGAGAAGAAAACCGTGTAGATTTGTTGCGCAAATTATTAACGATCGTATCACACCTTGTTAATTTCGCTCTTCCAAAATTCGCACAGAATCACCGTGAGCCCCCTCTCCGACCCCCCTCTCGCGACGCAGGAGTCAATAGACTCTCCGTTGCGGCAGATGTGCGTATCGATTTCGGGACGTCGATTCGCGCGTGTTCCCGTGCGAGCGCGATATCGCATGGCTCATTCTTTGAGACGCCGGCGACTCCTTCTCGACACGTCGCGAACATCGTCGGCGTCATCGTCGGCCAGAAGGCACACGCCGCAGTGCGAAGCCAGGGGGTTCCGAGGAGCACCTGGAGGCCGCTGGGTGGCCGGCATCACCCTCGCCAGGTGGTTGCAACTTGTTGTTGCGGGACCCCGCGACCTACGTGGGCCTCTTCTTCCTCCCTCCTCTCTCCGCTCCCTCTCTTCCAGCTCGTCGTCGTCCCCCTTTCCCGTGCGCTTCCGCCACTTATTTGACCTTCGTGCATAGAGGAGTCGCGAATCAACATTCCCGTTTTTGAGAATAAACCGAGACACTGTATTCTCCGTTTCAAGCTTCAGAAAATTAGGCTCGTTCTTTTTAGCTGAATTCTTTTTAGCTGCACTGGAATTTCGATCCTTTTTCTTTCAACATTAAGACCATGTACTCGTTGAACTCTAACGGCCAAAAGTGCAACCTAGTACAACTAAGAAGGACAGACCTATTGACTTTGGAGGGGTAGGGGGAAGCGACATGGAAACAAATAACATTTAACGGGATGCCGATATAATGCTGTTTTCGTATTTGGCACTGCTTTTCTATTTGGTTGTATAGAATTGAAAATGTTTATATAAAGTGAAAATGTCAATATATGGCGGAGTATATATGGATGTATGTCAGTGTATCCCATGTTATATAAGAAAAGAAAAAAAAATTATCAGAAAAAGATTTTGTAAGTAAAAGATTGTTTTCAAGTTTTTATATAAGTATTCTATCATTTATTGTACTTTCACTTTATATTTGCAATGTGAGTATTTGTGGTGAAATCATAAAGTGTAGGCGTTGTCAAGATATTTTTTTTTAATCCATCATATCTGACAATCAGTGTCTCATCGCCAAGTCGACTTAAACGTGCACTTTAGCAGGTACACTTTTAAACTTCGACATTAGTCGATTCCCATCGCTCTCTTCTACCGGTATTGATCCACGAGTAAACATGGATCAAATCTATCTGAAATCATCGTAACGGTGGATAAAGATAAATCATCGCGATTAAAGACGGTATATCCGAGGAAGAGAACAGCTGTGTCTTCACGCATCACTTACGGTAACCGCCGCTACCATTCTAAAACGACACGTTCTCCAGACATGAAGAGGATCGCACTGTTATTCGTACAGAAAGAGATCCTCGCGTCGACCGATTTCCTAGAAATAAGGGATCCTCCTGGTAGACTCCCTTATTTTTGCGGCTTGCGTCACAATACTCTCTTTCTCCTTTCATCTTCCTACTACAATCGTCGACGTTCCAAATAATGTAAGAAATAGTTGCGATGTATCGCCTCTCAGTCTCCGTTATTCCAGGCCTAAGTTACTTGTTACGTATGTGTGTGTGTGTGTGTGTGTGTGTGTGTGTGTGTGTGTGTGTGTGTGTGTGTGTTTGTCCATTTCATGATCCGCGTTCGCAGTAGTTTCTTGTTGATTAACGTACACGCATTAATTATTATCGTGTTCTGTCGCGTTCTGTATGTACCCGTATTGTCGGAAGCAATAAGATTACATAAATTTTCAGCCATTACTATACATAATAAACGTTACATGCATTACAATAAACATCAGTTTTGCGAAAGTAAGATCGTCCGTTTAGACCTCAACAAACGTCTCGATAACCTGAATAATCTGAATCGAGAGAAATCGATTAATTCTTTTCTTCTTTTCCGCGAGTCGATGAAGCGCGTTCGGATACTGATTTCTGCAACATTCTCGTGAAAATCCGCTGAAAAAGGAAGCCGAAAAATCCGGTAAATACGTCACGGGATATCCGTGGACGATTTAATTTCCGTCGCGACGAGAGAACGCATACCTCGCCGACGAGTCTGTCCGTTTTCGACAACCTGCACGAGAGAAAGAGAGGGAGAAAGAGAACGAGACGTTGGCAAGGACTCGGACTGTCCTTTTGGAGGGGCGCTCGGAAGAGGAACGGAGAACCGTGCGTCGAGGGTTACTGATACAGAAGTGGGACACTCGGCGAAAGGGGTTAGCTCCCGCGCTATGACAACGGCAAAACTCGAAACGACGTCGTCGGACTTGGCTTCCGGCCATTTCCCGACTATCGATCCACGAAGCGTTACGACAAAACTGCCCCACGTGCGATCATAGGTGTATCGTGTGTACAATGCCGACTTGTTTCGCGCACCGCAGCCAGGAGGAGATTCCTCTTGTGGCTCTTCTTTATTATCTTAATCTCGAAGATCCGTGAGATTCGTGCGTCGTCTGCACCCTTGGCCGCTCCTCGATTACGCATCGAAAATATAATTCGATTCTCGATTGCACTAATTGTGTTCGTAGACATTATTGGATTGTGTGATAAGTAATTTTGGATTCTTCAGGTAAGATGAAATGATTCTATTTTTATGCTGTTGTAATTTTATTAAATAATGTATGTTAGCGTGAATATTGGTCTGACACAAATGTCCTGCAGTTTAGACATACTGAATGTGTGTTTGCTGTGTTCAAGAAAATGTCAGAGAACATTGCTGTATCTTTTACCTTCTTGAAAGCTTAAGAATATACAAAATGTTTGCAGAAAGATTTATATATATATATGTATGTGTTTTCTGTTAAAACACAGCAGCATATACTTATATAAGGTCTATATGTTTACGAAATATGAGAAGGATAGTGTGATCACGCTTATCTGATATATTTTGACAATCACCTCTACGTTCTCAAGTAACTTTTAGAGTTCTTCATTCATTTTTGTGTGTATGATACCCTTTTTAAATATAATACACAAAATATAAAAGACAAAACTTCAATTTTTAAAAATTGCAATCAAGGACCAAATACTATACGATTAGCTTTATAAATTTATTTTAATATTATAGTACCTTTTTTATTTTTTATTTTTTCACGATGTTTTTTGTTATCTTTAGCAATGTGATATTTCGTGAATATTGACGGTGACCTGTGTGAGAAGCGAGCTTCAGAACCCGGAACCCGGCGAATAATTTCCGACTCGCGTGTCATAATGACGATAGCAACGTATCGCATATCTCCGCGATGCGGACGCTAACGTATTGCGTATCGCGTTAATATATCCGCTGGCCGCATCGAAAAGAAACGCCGAGCTATTCTTAGCGCGAGATAAATCGGTGTGAACGACTCCAGGTGCATATACCGAGGAAACCCCTCGCGATCGCTCGCAAACCCGTAGCCGGTGAACAGTCAAACGCTATGTCGGGCCGGAATCGACCCTAATGCGAGCACAGCCGTGAGTTAATAACTGCCGCTCAGCAATAATGAAATTGCACATGACACGTGCAATTTGCAGCCACGTTCTCCCGTGGATGTTCAGCCCATCGACCCAGAAATCGACTCAGAATCAACCCGCTGCAAACAACGTTGATATGGCGGCGCGGCACCTATTCCCGTGCCGTTCTGTCTCAGAAACGAAATTTCCGACACCGTCGTGTACACGACGGTGTCGGAAGACGCGACCATGAGGAGAGAACGAGATTCGCACACCTCACGTCGACGATAACACATGTTTCGTTCAGGTGTGCCGTAAGGAACTCATAGGCCGCGTGAGTGTCCGCCCTATGAGTGCGACACGAGCGTACGTTTCCACGTATGCGTGGAATCGATAACTGGGAATTAGTCTGCCAGGCTGTCTCCCAGAACTAAATACGAACACGCGGCGGGAGAAAAATTTAGTCGATCGCCCTTGGGAACCGACACATACACGCGAGCTCCATTTTATTACTGCTGCAAATACGGAGGAGAGAATAATCGACTGTTATTCGCTGCTCGCACAGAGCTACTACTATTCGCGCGAGCGCGGATATCAAGATTTAATTTTTACCTTTAATCGACGCGATGTTCCTGTAAAATGGCCGCATTTTGCATGGTGAAGATCTAAAGGATATGTTATATCCTCTGTATTCTTTTTTTTATTCGTTTTCACGTTATTGGAGAATATTCGGATCCGCAATTATGAGGTATTTCTGACTCCATGTATTTTATTTGAATCATTGTTCACACACACACGATTTAGACATTACTCGGTTCAATTGAGATAGAGTCGACATCGAGTCGCTACTTCGGCTCTTATATTAAACCTTATGTTAAGATATATTTAGAAAAATACATGTTTCTTCTGTTCAACTGCTTTATCGAGTGTCTGAAGCTGATTAACATCGAATCGTTTCGTAGTGTGAGTCAGACTGTCTCGTGTATTCCGACAGCCTTCCCTCCTTCTTTCTATTTCTCTCTTGTTTGTCCTAGTATACCATATGTGTTCGAGGTGTCGCGATGAACACACGCGTAAACAATACTAACCAAGTAAGCGAGAGAAGGGGAGGAGGAGGGTGCAGCAAAGTAAACGCGAGAGAACAAACGAAAATATGCCCGTGCAAGAAGCCAGCTCGAAAGAGAAAGCGAGATAGAAAAAGAGAAAGAGTGTGTGTGAAAAAGAGGAAGGGAGGGAAAGACGAAGAGAAAGAGAGAGAAAAAAAGAGGAGATGGAGAGAATATCACCATAGTCGGTACCGAGGATCAATACATCACGAACACGGTCACAACTATTCGTGCATACACACGAGACTGCACCCGTACGACCATCACACTTTTACCGCTAAGATAACTTCTGCAGGTTGTATCATAATCGTATGCACCGACTAGCGAGCTGGCCCGTCTCGCATAAAGCATCCATGCAATTGTACGCGATATGTAAAATCGATCATCGTAGAAGAAAGATGGGCAAACTTTGACGAAACATACTCTCTTAAAATGAATTAGTGAGAATGTTTTTGACTGAATCAGTAAAAATGAAAAGTAAATAAGAATAAAATAATTAGGAATAGAAATTTATAAAATAAAAAGAATATTTCACCGATAATCAATGAATATTCACTGATTTCCGGAGGAAACATTCTCACTTTACTGCTCAATCTTACTAATCTTGACCAGTAAAGATTTCACTGCAAAATATGTAGTACATGTTGTGTCAAATCCAACTTTCTGCGGATGGAATTAACGCCTCAATTTGCGTACAATGACATTGTGCTTGCAGACTGTATCGATAATAGGAATAATCGTTACTGTTAACTAATTTTTTCAGCGAGACCTTACCGATTGCAGTGCTATACTTATAACTAAGCCACCAGCTGTGAGTATAGCATTTCAGAATACACTGGTTGTACTTTAGAGAATACATTAAAATCGTAATGCTCACGTACAAGACAACAATCCTGAAACGGACACATCAAAGGTTGAAGTATCTTAAATATATTTGTGTTCTCTAATAACAAAGTTATCTTTCTGTTCAATTATCCTTGTTCATCACGCTCGATTTGAACTCTCGCAACACTTGTGCATTATGTAGACATTCATTCGTCGTTACCGCAAACTTCAAGAGAAATAAATGTTTTTTTATTATCTTCTTATTCTAAGCTTGGTCGATAAGAGATTCCGTAACTACTTTTGAGGAAGTCAATTACCTGTTGTGTCTTAGAAATTCAGTGTGAACAGTCTTTCATACCAATATGATCTGCGACTAGTCATTGAACCGCGTGAGATGAAAAAAATGAGACAGAATAAAAATGTATAATGCATGTTACAAACATAAAATTTAATGATAGCTTCGAGAACACGTTACATAACGAGTCATACTATTAGAGTTTCTTAACAACGATTAAAGAAATATCGATGCTCACTTCTTATCTTTGCTATATGACGGATTCAAATCTCGTCGAAGTCAAGTTGTCTCTCTTAAAAGTATTCAGAATCGTCATCCAAAAATATTTCAGAGAGAATATCGGCATTGTTCCGTTCTTTTGCTCGACAAATATAGTCATGAAGAACACATAATCTTGCGGAAATAAATGGGAAAACCTGTATGTACCTTCGTACGTACGATTCTTCCTCTTTTATCTCTTCAGCGTTCCATTTTTATCCATGATGCAATTGCTTCGTTTTACATATGGATCGTCTATTGTCATATTATGCTTCTTAAAATGGTTCTTTCGTTGAACAGTGCATAAATATGCGCGAAATGTGGCTTCAATTGAAAAATTCTTCCACCTCCGCCAACTCTCTCGCTCGTGCTTGCTGATGAGCCCAACGTGCCTCCGCCAACTTGTCGGTTAATCCCCATTTGTCGTGATACACGCGTTTCCCGCAACTTGGACATTTCTTACCCCCTTGAAGAAATGAAAAAGAAAATATTTCCCTCGAAATCTTCTATTCAACATAGTTCGACGTTTGAACAGAGATCTCATTTACCATGGAACGGCGGAGTCTTCATGAATGTCACGAGACATCGTAAGTGGAATAAATGACCACAATAGAGTCGTTCGGCGTGAAGATCCGCGTTTTCGTCGAGCACAATTTCCTCCGGGTTGGCTGGCAAGCAAGTTACTTTGCATAGTTGGCAATTCTCTTGCGGAAGAGCTTTTACGGTTCTGCAAAAAACATGAAACGTTAGGAAATTAAAGAGCCGCATCAGCTAATCACGTTTATGTAACGAGATCTAGCAAAAAAAGAAAAGAAAAAGAAAAACTGCTGGAAAAGATAAATGCAGACAAGTGTAAGACAAGGCAGAAATAGAAAAAATCTCTCAAGATGCTTTCAGCTTGTCCGAGAATGTTACATTGAAATGTAACACGCTGAAGATCACGAATATGGATCGTAATGTTAATAAAAGAATAATGACCAAAAATTATTGAAAATCTCTAATGTTGTGTTGAAATATCGCTGTTATTTTGATAGCCGAATTGATTACGATTTCCTGCTTGCAAGAAGGGAGATCCAACTTCGATTCTTGATTCTTAAGGCGATATTTTTCTATAGTATCAATTTATTTACGGTAGAAGAGAAGAAGGTGGATTTATTAAAGTATTAGCAAACAAAACTAAATCTAGATGTAAATTCGAGAAAAGTCGGTTTGAAGAGATAGAAGATTAGAGCGTGAATCCGGTAGTAACAGCTTGTATGTTAACCAACGCCGAACATTATTCATTTGCATGCTGCAGCCTTAAAGATATACTTTCGTTGATGTCGGAATAGGCTGTGATTACCACAAATGTTAATTATTAATTGGAAATATTCATAAGTAGAGGCAATTTAGTAGACCGTTGTTCACTTAACATAAACAACATTGTTCACTTAACATAACCAACGGTATCTATTGATAATTACTTGATGATAAAAGAAGCAACAGTGTTCAAAGACGGGGATGGTGTAAATGGCGTAGTTTGTGTCTGTTTTCTTAACGGTGGCTCGACACATTGTCTTCCTAATTCCCTTCCTTGTCCTATCAGATAGCGGGTAAGCAACGGTGAAAAGTTTGTGTCGGGATCTGCCAAACTGCAAATAATGTGAATTAGTAACAACAGATATCAGATTTGTTCTTTTTTGTTGAAGAAGTAACATATATTGACGGAGGTTAAAAAACAGGTTTATACAGTACAGAAGTGATGAAAAAAAGAGGAAAAGAGAGTTAATGTAAGCTAATGCAAGGAATGCTATGAAAAAGAACAGATTACTTGTCATTGCGTTAATTTGAGAAGAGAGAAAGACTGTATATACCTGACGTTACTGATAGGATAATTATCTGGTACTGCAAGCTTGGTTTTAAAATAGTATAAGCCTTGGTTCACCGTCAGAGTAATCGTCGAGTTCTTCTGCTTCAACTTAAACTCGTCTCGATCAGTTAGGAGTACTTTCAATATTAAGATCTCTTCGTAGCAACAAATGAGAGGATTCTCCTCAATGTAGTTCCTTATGAACTTTAAAATCGGTAATATCTGCGAATGCAAAAAACATATTGTGTTAAAACGTCATTCTCTATTGTGTATCAGTACCTGGTGTAAATTTTATTCACAATTTGCTAGAAAAAATACAAGAACCAGCATCTGCCAGCAGAGTATGATGACAGATTGACAATAGAAACTGAGTAGGATTTGTTGTTTTGTAACCATTTAAATGTATTTAAATTGAATATACTGCAGATTCTGCTCAGTTTCTGCTGCTAATCTGCTGTGAGAATATATCAGCAGTCTGTCAATAGAATACGAGTGGAAATTATAGGTGATTATGGATCTGCTACGGTATTTCAATCAAATCTGCCAATTTGTCAGCATACTGTTAATATTTTGTTTATTGAGACAAATACCTGCGCTTTATTCAAGAGATTCTTGCACTCCTTTTCGCAGACTTTAGTTAGGCCATCCAACAACTTTGTAGACAGAGTCTTACTCTTTAACTCGATTAATAGCGGCGATGAAGGATAATCCTGTGGGAACTGAATGCACACGACGAGTTTCTTAAATGTTGTTTTCCTACAAAGTATAAAACATTTTAAATTAATAATAGAAGATGTTTTCGATTTAAAGAAGAATACAATAAAGACAATATACACATACGCAAAGAGAGGGGGGAGGGAGAGAGAGAGGGAAAGAGTAAGCGAGTAGGAGAAGGAGGAAGAAAAAGAACCGAGAGTGGTGTGTGTGTGAGAGAGAGAGAGAGAGGGAGAGAGAGAGAGAGAGAGAGAGAGGGAGAGAGAGAGAGAGTCTGCTTACGTTATTTCGACGCGGACCATACTTTGCACGCAAGAAATAAGCCGGCTTCCATCGATGACATTTTGGCAGAGCCGTGATACTTCTCGTAACTCATCGTTGATAAATCCCATGGACGAGTAAGAGCGGGCTAAGAACAACACCCGACACCTTGGAGCTGGACGGTTGCGGCGCTAAATGAAAACAATCGTAGGGAAATCACAACGAAGCATCACTTTCCGGAGGTCTAACGCAAACTAATAGTGCCGTTATGTCACGTCACGTCACGTGCCAACGATAAAAGACATTAGAATGGATTTGAAAATATTTCTTGTGCCAAAGTTTCCGATATTATATACGAAAAGCTAGCGAAGAACGGTTGAAAAAAGTTCCTGATATCAATAATATTTTAAAAATGATTAATCAATTACGTAAGAAGCTCATATTGCCAGTCTTTTACGCGTTACACGGTGATTACGTGTGAATCATCACAAACGATATCGATGTTCTAAAATGGAAGTATAAATTCTACGCATGCGCAGAATACAGACATATTCTAACTACGTGTATCACGTATATAACTCTCTACGAAATACTTACCATACATAGGAAACATCGTTATGCTCGTCAGCTTAGGAAGTTGTCTGACATGACTATCGGCTACTGATTCTCGAATATAAAGTTGTATATTCCTATCATGAGAAAATATATTTTCTTAGATTTCATTATTTTCATTTCGTATTTCCCATGTTTTAATAGACTTTCATGCATCGTCTACAATGGGATACAATAGGAGTAGTAGTAAGAAACAACCCCTTGTCCACAACTTTGCTTTAATCTTTAAGCCGTAATAAATTGACCAACCACAGTCGATTATTTTAAAAATAATCCGCCGAGTCAGCGCCTCACTGTGATTGGTCCACTGAGAGTTGGCAGTCGGGTCAGCCTGTATAGTCGGTAGTCTGATACGGGCTTTAAAGGCCAAATCACACTAGTGATTGGCGATTGATGATAGACAATTAAAGATTAGATTTTAACGAATCAACAAGCTGCAGCTTTAGCTCGCTTTGTTCTAGTTGATCAAGTTCCAATCTTCAATCATTTGTCGCCAATCGCTAGTGTGATTTGGTCTTTACGGTTACTGTTACAAAAAGTGTGTGTGGCCAGCTTTACTACTACTACTGCCATTGTAGACGACGTATCAGTTGAACAGTCGAATGAAGGTCGGTTCTACAATACGTCGTATGTCTCTGTCGGAACGCAGTCGATGGGCCAATCAGAGAATTTGTTTTTCGAGACGAGTTCTCCTGATTGGACCACTGATTGCGTCCGACATACGACGTATTGTAGAACGGGCCTTAACTGGTTGTACGCCAGAAGACGTTTATGCGAAAACGCTCATGCAATGTTCTACAGAGGGCGCAGCATATATAATTGAGAGAAAGAGATACAATCTAACCAAACGGTTCTTTCTTCGCATGGCTCTAGACGGTGTCGGTCGATACAGGCAAGGGAGAAGAGGAAGAAAGTAACTCTTCGTATTTTCTACATATAAATATAGGTATATTTACATCAGTTACATATATTTTACATACCGAGTAAAACAGATATTTAAAAGTATCCCATAAGTTTCACGTTACTGCTTTGTCGGTATCAGGGGACTGCCTTACCTTGTTGTCGGGCGCTACCGACGGAGCAGTTCACATTTGGGATATCGCCAGTCGGCACGTGCTCAGAACAATCGAGCACAAAGGACCAATTACCGCCGCGTTCTTCGCGCAGGCATTCGAGAATTTCCGTGCCACCACGTTGAGGCCGCGTTTGGAGTTGCGTAACCTGCAGCAGACCTCAAACGGTAACAATGGCTGCATTCAGTAGACTCAACAGTTGGGCAACATTACTAGATTTTCTACTGAATGATGCTCCGCTCAGTTGTTACATCTCAACAAGTTGAGGGAGCGGACGCCATATTTTGTAGCGGTTTTCATTTACGCTATTTGAGCGGAAAGTGATACAATCTAACATGGCGACGTCTAGTGAGAAAAGTGATGTCATAGAAAAAATATATGAATATAAAGGAGAGTTATATAAAATAATAGAAAATGCTGATTTTCATACTCGTCTTCAATCAGGTATGTAAGAATAATAATAAATTTTATTATTCGAAATAATTTAATGTAATATATTTATTATTATTAATAATCTAACCTCTCTTTTTGTAATATACTTGCATGTATTACTGACATTACTGGCATAAAAAATATTTTGATTTATTGTTTTGTTATTACTAGTATAATATCTGTAAAGGCTTAAACTAATGGCTGACTTAATGGTTAAAAACAATTATGTCTTAAAATAAAAATGTAAGACATATTTGTTTTTAAGTATTAAATCATATGT